GAAATAAATGAATGAATGGTAAATAAATTAATTAAATTTGCTGATGATATTAAAGTTTTGAGCATTGTCGGCTGTGAGGAGGATACTGCTACTTTACAAAAGGATTTGGATTATTTGCTGAATTACACAAATAATGGGACATGGCTTTTAATTTATAATAAATGCAGGTGGGATATCATAATTTGAATTACAAAAGTCTTAATCCATCCAAGCAATGTGCTTTTGCTAGTGGCAGGGCAAATAGGAGTTTAGATTGTATCCAATATGAAAATAATGAATACAAGTCTAAAGAGGTTAAATTGTTTTTGTATAGTTCATTGGTTAAGCAAAAATTGGAGTATTGTGTTCAGTTGTTGGATTCTTACCTTAGAAAGGACTTTGAAATGTTGGAAAGGGTTCAAAGGAGGGCTATTAGGATAATATAGTACGGAAAGGTTATCATATGAGGATAGGTTAAGATCTGAAATTGTTTCCTCTTGAAAGACGAAGAGTTAGAAGGGATTTGATTAAGCTGTTTAACATTCATTATTGGAACTGACAGAGTAGATCACAATATTTTTTTGTACTTAATGATGAGAATGGGTAAGACTAGAGGATACAAATATAAATTTGGTAGGGTAGGAGTCATCTTCACCTAAGATATTATTATATTTCTAACAGAGTAGTTGGCTTTTGGAATGGGTTGCCTTCAGATGTGGTAGATGCAGTTAGTTTAAAATAGTTTAAGGGAATACTTGATAAATCTTTCAATGACATGGGCTGACTTAGTGTGTTTTACTTTTATTTTAAAGATTAGTATAATGGATGGGATGGCCAAGATGGACCAGCAGGTACATTGTTGTCCTTAAATTGTATGTTGTTGTTATTTTTATGACATTCAAACAAACTTACATGAATAAATTGGAATAAACTGGCTACATATTTATGTATAATCATGATACATTGTAAATAGAAACATTATTACCAATGATCAGTGAGAGTGTGACGTTTTCATTATCTGGTTATCATTATATTTGATTTATAAGAGATCAATATGTTTTTTTACTATATATATATATTGTTACGACAGCAGAAGTAGCGTGTCACTGGGAGCATGCGTGCTGGAGTTTCTCGAATTATCGGGGATCCCCACAAATCTCCAAGTGTTTGCTAGACGCCCTATTTTTTAGTATATAAGCGTAGCAAAGAAAGCGATAGATAGATAATTAAAGAAGCAAACAGTAGTGATGGTAATATAAAGTGTGTGTTTTGTTATCAAGATTGCAAACATATTGACTGTGGAATTACTGTGTATCAAAAGTTTGTATCGAGAAAGAATAAACTAGTTTTAATTAAAAAAAGGACTTGTATCGCTGAAGTTCCTCAGAAAGAATTTTACAGGAAATTATCAAACAAGCAGATATGTAACAATATTAAAAACAAATGAAATGGTGACCTCATAATCATCTCTACATTATTGATTTGCCAAATAGGAAATATTCAGATTACCTATTAAAAAATGTGTCTCAAAATAAACACATTTTTGCAAAATGCTCAAATGACAACCACCAGCAAAATCACTGGAAGTATTCTTACATCTGTGGTGGAAAAAAGTACTCAGACTGACTGGTAATTTAGAAATATATTTTGCAAATGATCTTTAATCATAGTAACTGCAAAGTAATGCATTTGGATCACACATTTAAGAGAGAAGGATATCCATTCAATAGTTTGATTAATGAAACGGATCTTGGTGTGGTAGTGGACAATTCACTCAAGTCATTGAAACAGTGGTTTGTTACCAGTGGGAAAACTAATAAGAATTTTAGGGTGTATTTGTAGACAAACTGATTACAAGATAAAATAAATAATTACTTCTCTATAAAAACCACTAGTTAGGCTTACTTTACGATATTGTGTACAGTTTTGGTCTCTTTATGTAAGAAAGGATATTGACATATTAAAAATGACAAGGAACTTTTTTAAAGTGTTGGAAGCCAGCACTTTATAGGAGTTTAAAAAACATGAATGGTGGGTTTAAATTTTTTTTATAAAGAGTGGGTGTACAATGACAGCCTTGAAGGACCAAATTATCCTTTGATGTTCGTATGCTATGTTAAAACAACAAACCATTCATCTAAGTGCCAGAAAATTTATAAATACTTAAGTGACACCTCATAATCAACAAGGTCCCTAATAAAAATTAACATTATTAAGTATATTTTTTTAATCTTTTATCCTCTATGAAACAATATTTTAACATTAATACATTTCAAAATTTCAACATCTGAATTATGTTACTTTCCGAGTCAATAGGCTTAGTCTAACATAAAAAATAATGGTATAACATCTTCTTTCCCTATGAAAAAAATTGTTTATACTCATCAAACATAACTAACTCCTTTTGTGCTTCACACTTCACAAACTGTTTCAATAATTGAAGGTTGATGTAAATGTATTTGTAGCTTTATGAAAGATGCTATTATCAAATTCCAGGTATAACTCTGTAGATTTTCCCCTAGGCATAACACATATATATACCATAAAGCATTAAAATAAATTTGAAGCAATAACAATATACCCTGCAAAAGGTTGTCTCATTCCAAACCAGAACCACTATAGAAAGGTAATAACTATTAGTCTAATTGTTAATGTAAATTGTAATCAAATATTCTGTAGAAAATGTTTTAAATGCAACTTCATTTAAAAGATTTTTTCTACAGGTGTACAAGTTTACTCACCTGGATCTTTCTTTTATATTTCTAAAATAAAAACTATTCTAAATTACTTCAGAGTTTAGTCACTTAAGTATCAGGGTGCTGCAATCTCAAGAATTTGTAGCCACACCTTTGGATCTTAACTTTTACTGTTTTAAAGTTTTACAGTAAGATCAGATTTAAGGTAAATTTGGACACTGATTCAGTGACATATACAATTTTTGAATTGTTACACCATGGCATTTAAGCTTATAACTACTGTTATAAACAGTTAGGCCAATAGTATTACTAGTTACTAGTACAGTAACAGAGCATTACAGACAATTTCTTAAGCAGTAGTACATAACTAATATGGTATATAAACATATCATGCATTTCTATCTTGTTGTATTATTATGGTATTTATTCTGTATATGTGTGCCAATTTCACAAAACATAAGTTAATACGTTCATCTCATTTTAGCTGCTTTTGTTCCTTTGTTATTCTTTCGAAACAATACTGGCTTTGCCCATTGGTGGTTCATGCTGTGCAAAGATTTCAACAGCAGTTTTCTTCAATGATAAAGCAGATAGCATTTTTATGGTCATAGCCCCAAATAATTTTGAATGAGAATGACCAGACATGTGGGTAGAGTTAGTAATCCTGAGTATATGTGATGTTTCTTGTGAAGTAAGGAATGTTGGATTTAAATAATCTGGGAGAACTCTTCATAAGATAGGAAGTTTGAGAGAGAAGATATATTCTGGTAAATGCTACCTTCCAATAAAAGAAAACACATACAGTGTTTATGTTAAGTCTGTTTTAATAAACTCTTCATTTCATATTTTACTTTGTGTCCAATCTCTTTATTTCATTGTAAAAACATCAGTTATTCAGAAATTTGGTATTACTCCATTATAAACATTTTGTCAAACTTCCTGTTAGGCAGACCCATCCCATTTCTCTACATTTCAGTTTGAATTAAATATACCACACTATTACTAGTACCACTTGAAATTTGAATCTTAGAGGCACCCTAAGTCATCACAAGTTATTATGTACACTAATTATTAAACTAATTCGAATCAGTATCTCTGGGCAAAGGCATGTTGGGATTGATTTAGGGTAAAAAAAAATTGTATGACAACAGATTTGATGCTAAATGACAATTGTATCCTTTATCATCCAGTGGCATGGACATGCAAGTTTTTGTAAACCTTGGTCAAATTATAATCATGTATTTTCTCAACTACTGTGAATAGTAATGCCATATGGTTAAAAAAGATGTAGATTACTGGACCTCTGGCATGAAAAAAAAAATTAAAACAACTACCACACAATATCTACTGTAAATGTAATGCACTAGCTCTAATTTTAAGCAGAAGGTAAGCTTTATCACTGTTTATGTTGAACAATCTATACATTAAATATTGGTTATATCACAGGATCTTAGGACTAGGACATGAAAGATTATTTACTAAGACTAAATGTAAAATGACTATGAGTATAATACATATCACACATGATGGATATTCATTATTATAGAAATACACATAGGTTCAAGAAGTCTTGAGAGAAATGAATAAAAACCCTATAACCCAAGTGCTTTTAAAAGGTGGACCTTTCTTCTTCTTTGTTTGCCCCTGAAGAAGAAAGGTCCGCCTTTCAAAAGCGCTTGGGTAGTCGTGGGAGG